TATGAGTTGCTTGGCAGCGCAATTAAAAGGTCTGAGATGACAAATAATATGTCTAAAAGTGACTGTACAACGGTTACTGTTTTTTGCAATCATGCGATATCCTTTGACAATAAAATATGTTACACCACCCAGAAGCATTATGTAACAAACATTATCTTCGAATTGTGTTTCATTTTTCAGACGTACCTGATGATTTATTTGCAAAAAACCTTGCGATCAAAAACCACAAAGACAAAACTAAAATAGTGCAATATTTTTATGTTTATTTATTTTTTTGCCAGAATGGCAGAAACACAAAGCTGCACAAAATAATTTACCTTAGAAAAAAGTTCATGGGCAAGCTCAATTGGCAAGGAGTTACGTTGCTCGCCAGCAGGGGTCACCCGAGCGCAACAAAAATAATAAGACATGCACCTTGTTGTCGAAGACATTGGGTGATTTGCCTTTGCACACATATTAACGATCCAGTTTTATGACTGAATAATAATTGTCATTTTGTCTACACTTTGTAGCTACCAAAGCAACAATTCCACGAGGAAGGCTCTGTAAAAGATTTAAAAGTGTTTTTATGAGAATTTCTTTACATTTCTCCATGACAGCTGTGAGTCAGGCATTGATGTTTGACTAAATGTCCTAGCTCACAGAAGCCTTTAACTTCATCTCAAATGTCTTCTATCAGGTTGAGGTCAAAACTCTTTGCAGGCCAGTCACGTTCTTCCATACCAAACTCACCCATCCACGTCTGTGTGAACCTTACATTTTGCCCTGGTGAAGAGTCATGTTGGAACAGGAAAGAACAATTCTAAGTGTATTCTCACGCATTTGGTGAATTAAATTGTCTGAAATCTTGTTGTTTGCAGAAGCATTAAGACTTTCATAAAGGAAACTAAGAAGCTCTGCCCAACTCCTGTAAAAACATCACCAGATTATAATTCCCTTCCACACAGTTTACACGTGACACCATGTCATGCAAGTGCTGTTCTCCTGGTAACTGCCAAACCCAGTCTGGTTCAATGGAGAGCCAGACAAAGAGGTATGATTCAATCCTCTTATGAACATGTCTTCATTTTCCTGGATGCTAGTGCTTTACAGAACTGTATCTGACGCATTGCTTTGAACTCAGCAATGTGAGGGTTCGTGTAGACATGTAAACCCATTCAATTAAGCTCCCTTGATTAATTTTTAACCACTCTGAAGGCCACACGCAATGTGAAAATCTATGGCAATTTAAGTCGGTTATCTCTGCACCCCATGCACCTCATTATCCTGTGACCCCTTTCTGTGATCTAGCCGAGCCTGCCGGCTTGGTTGCTATAATCCCCAATGTCTTTACTTTTTTATAGAAACACTGTTAAATCCACCTATATATCCCATATTAAATCCTGCAATATGTCTCGTGTTAAATCCTCCCATACGTCACATATTGTTCCAAGGTGCTGGATTTTACACATGTGGTCATTGAAGTCATTGCAACACTTGAATTCAGTGATGTGGATGTGTGACCTAATATTTTTGGTAACCTAGAATAGAATACAATGCAGTAGAATACAATCTGGACTGCACTTGCTTCAAGCACTTGCTGAGGCAGTTTGTGCAGTCCAGATTGTAATCACAGAGTTATAGTGTTATTTTTAAAAAATACAATATTTTAGGAAAATTATAGATGGAAATTACATTCAGGTTTAGTATCTATACAATCGTGGAGAGTATTGTTTAAAATTGCCATAAAAAACTACATTGAAAAATAATTGTGCATCACTCTGAGTGGACTTAAAGTTAAATACATGTAATTACACTCAACGGCCAGGAGGGTGAAGCATTACTAAAAGCATCTTAACTTTGGTGTGTAGATCTTTCACATGTTAAAGCACCATGATAAAGTTTATCATGGTGCTAAAAATCAAGCAAAGCCATTTTTAAACTCCATGTGTATATTTCGATCCTTTTACCTTTTTTCTACAAAACGTGTTGATGTTCTATTTATTGGTCTTTCCAAAGCAGTTTTATGAGAAAATTATTTTATAATTATTTTGGATACAGTGTTAAATTTAAATTTAAAATTAATGAAGTGGTATAATCATCCAGTAAACAATGTAGAGAAACCTAAATATTAATAGGAAGAGGGAAAGATTCCACATAAAAAACTTTAGCTTCCAATCAAAAACGCTTCACAACTCCTATAAAGTAAAGGCAATTGAAGCCTCTTTATATGTGTTATTGTGACCCTCCTTAGAACAGAGTGTGAAGAAACTTTTCTTCCTGGGTATAAAAAGTACCCAGGAAGAAATGTCACAAAGCCTTTTATTCTTTTCTACTCTTCAAATTGGGAAAGACAAGAAAATGTGCCATCCAAGCAAGGCAGATGTGCGTCGATGTTCATATGTTAGAAAATGATTACAATACATTCTTAAATTTGCTCATTTCTATGATCAGAATTGCAACACAAAGAAATAATCCAGGTGGGAAATAAAAAAAAATGTCCAGAGTTCACTATTTAAGCAATTTAGCATAAAATGTCTTGTGGTCATCAACTGTCAATTACAGTCATTATTTCACATGTAAATGTTATCTTGTTATTTTGGAAACATACCAGACAAAACGTATTTCCTGCCCTACTGTCACAGATTACTCTAAAAATGACTGAGACTACACCATGTAAAGTTATAGATATCTGAAGAAGAAGAAGAAAAAAAAAAAAACTTAACAGTACCTTGTGCTAAGTATGGTGGAGGATCTATGATGCTATGGGCCTGTTCATCTTACAAAGGCATTGAGAACCATATTAAAATTTTTCTAGGAATTATTTTAAATACCAGGGCATTTTAAATAAAACTTTGGCAAACTGCACTGTGAATTAAATCATTGTTCAACAGTCTGACAGTCCAAAACAAATGTCTAAATCAGGACAGAAATGGTTCACCAGACAAACCAGTGATCCTTACTTCGTTTCTCATTTCTGCCACTAGACTTTAAGCCCTGTAGAAAACCTGCAGACTTAACTGATAAGAGGAGTACATATGAGAACTCTGACTATCGAGGTTGTGCAAAGAGAAATGGTCAAAGATTCCTTTTCTCTGTGTACTCCAACCTAATGAAATGTGAGATGTTCTTGTATCCATCCTCTGACTTGCACTTTTCGATAACTTTTTCTCTGTTTTGCTTAGAGTGTTCTTTTGCCTTCAGGCGGTGGCAAACATGAATACTGATTAGTCAGTGAAAGGATCTTCTTTCCTGTACTTGGCCATGCCTCTTTAGTGTCTCTATGCACTACCCACATTGGGGAAATTTCTCTAAACTTGTCAGGAGTGGGATTGTGTTTTCACATGGGGGTCTAGTTACACTCACTCCTGGTATGTAACTGAGCACATTTGGATGGAGGCAATCAGGTGCTTGAGCACACACAGCATCCACCCAAGCTTTATATTGACTTTGCTATAGTCTTTCCACACAGCTGTGGCTATACATGATGTGCTTTGACAACATATTTTTCCTCCATTCAACTTTTCCAAAAATATGCTTGAATTCAGCACTCTGTCAACAACCAGCTCCTTTAGCAATGATCCTTTGTGGCCTAGCTCTCAGTAGGACTTGCTGGTAAAACCATTTGACAACACAAAGAACAGAAAAAGGGTATTCAGTTATGTTATATATTCTCATAAATCACAATAACCACACTTTAGAGAAGTATCATATAGATAATTGATCTGATAACAGCTAATTTATATTTTATGGATGCCATTAAAGTCTCTCCAGTGCAGAAAGAGTTCTATAGGATAGATCAGCTGCTCCGCCAACTGCAGAGCTTCACCTGCGCCGCCTGCTTGTGATCATGTGATGAGTGATGACATGGTGATGTATAAGAAACTTGCAGCCATAGACTTTGCCATTAAGAATGTCAGTTTATGGGAAAAAATTTACATTCTCAAAAAAATGATCTAGTTAAGTATATTTTAAATAGGTTAGAATTCTCTAAAACTGTCAGAAATTGTGTGTCATTTTCTGGGGTAATGTAATTTTTAAGGCACAATTAGCAAGAGCATGGAAGTGGAACAATGAAGAAATTAACCCAAAAATAAATTAAGACTTCTTTTTTGCATATATGTTGAATTCATTTGTTTTTACTTGGGTTAGCACAAGTTCTTAAAAAAATAAAATAAAATATAAAATAGAAAGAAAATAATGCTCTGTTAACTCTTCTCCCATGTCCCTGTAGTCACTCCATCAAAAATTCCCATATTACATAATATGGGTGCATTTAACATGGGGACATCCATGTTAAATGTGGACAGACACACCCCCACCCCCCCACACACCCCCCCCCACACACACATATATATATTTGACAAGTGAGCTTAATAATTGACTGTTTATTTGTGGTAGCCTATTGTTTTTCCTGATGTGATTACTCAGTTCTGTCATTGACTGTTAAAGAAGGCACTATTCTATTACTCCATTATGCTGAATGGGCGGAGTTATCACAACACCCTCCCTCTCGCTCAAGTGTTCCTTGAATACGTCTGAGCTCAGGGCCCACAATACCTATTGGCATGCGAGTATTCTGAACATTTTAACTTGCCACTGTTGCAAAGTTCAGATTAATGGAATCATTTTGACGTGTGAGCCTCTCTCTGGAGCGCTAACGTGATTAAGGCTGATGAAAAAAAAAAAATTTGTTTAGTTGACCGACATTCTATTTAAATAAATATAGGCCTGTGTTATTGAAAACGCTGGTAATTTTTTAAATAAAATACCAGCGTATTTACGTCGTAAGTATATTTATGTAATAACTATCATGAAAACAAAGTGAAAATCATATTTGTATGTGGCCATAAAACAGAGCAAATGAAATATTACCGACTTCTGTTTTTTGCTGTCTGTTGTTACAGGTGGCCAAGTCAGAGTCAGTAGGACTCAACCTTTGTCAGGTGTGTTACCTGTGACACCCACAGGAAGCACTTCGCTTCCCTCAGTCTGCTGCAACTGGGAAGTAGAAAGTCGTCGGGCGGAACGATGGAAGAAAATCGTCATTACCTAATTGTAATCCGCTTTATATTTGGGAGCCTATCGGTCTGCTAACGTGTGTATATATAGGCTCTATATATTTTAGGCGACAGACTGACTGAAAGAGGGAAGTGCTTCCTGATAATGAGGAGGTGCGTCTTATTTCCATCCCAGTGATTGACTGCGTACGGCTTCCACCGCCAAGAGCTGCGGGCATTGACGCATTGTGGAGTCAACAGGGAGGGGGCGAGCACTGCAAACCCCCGGCTTCGCCACACATCGGAAGCATCTACCGGCGTAACCACCGCGATGGCCGTGGTGCAGCTCGAAACGGGGGACCGCCAGCCGGAGAACGGCTTCGTGACCCCCGAAACCGCGTCCCCGGAGCTGCTGACTCACATCGACGAGTCTGTCCTGCCTTCTCTCGGGGGGTTTGGGAAATACCAGAAACAGCTGATCGTGCTGACATGGATCCCGGCGTTATTTATTGGATTCAGCCAATTTTCCGACAGTTTTCTTCTCGCGGAGCCAAACATCACATGCACCAGCCAGCCCCTGGCCAACGGAACGAGGCACACTGCGAACCTCCAGATGGACATAAGCACCGGGCCAGCTCTTTATGCCGGTGGGGGTCCCAGCGGCCACAATTACAGCATGCAGTGTCAGTACAATGAGTCGACATTCGAGCTGCACACAGGGCTTGAACAGAACGTGGTTACGAAGGTAAGCTGTTCTTTTTGAGCATGGATTCCTTTCTGTGATGTTATGCCACGATTCAGTGATGTCCTACCCTCTTTCCTGTAATTGATTGATACTATTAAGCCGAGAGAGCGACATTCGAGCACCTATTCACTCTAATCATAAATATGCGTTTTTACCATCAAGCTGCAGCATAGCAGCTATTGACACTTTTGATGTGGTGCAAGTGGTCATGTCACCATATTGCATAATTTCCATATATTGTAGCGTGTAGGATCAGGCATTTCCCATGCGATGCGATTCACAAAGTATAAGGATTTGTGGGGCATGTGTTTTGCTGACATTGAGTCATCCAAACAGCTGACACAATGAATAACCTGAGGCATAGATATGGTACCACTATTGAGGAAAACTGCAAAGGAAGGTTGAACCTTGTGATTGTAGTAATGGAAATATCAGACAAGTTTTTTTATTTTTTTATTTTTTTATTTTAGAGCAAAGGTCGTGAGTATTCTCTGTAATGCTGTAATGGAGCTCCATCCCACGCCAAACATCACCCACCCTTCTGCTAACCTAACCACACAATTAGATATTCCTGCATATTTCCGGGTGGATACGTCTTGATTTTGAAGTATGGGTTGGATTGGGAGCAGTGTTACTTTTTGACAATTATAGGATACAACTAGATCTGGAATATCCAGCAATTTTAATTCAACATATAAAAATAAGAATAATATAGAATGACTGTTCTTCTTGACAGTTTGACAATACATTATTAGAGATGCACCAATCTTGTTTGCCTTTATTGGCACTAATATTGATCTGCACATTGGTATAATCTTTTCATACCTTTAATTTTCTGCTGCTGTCAAAACTTCTAGCTTTCTCAAGTTTGTTTTGGTCCAGTAAAGCCTTGTGGTAACAGTGGCCAAAGTGAAAAAAAGAAATATGACTAATTTAATTTTTATTGAACAAATTTATGATTGAAGTCTTCATATATCAAAACAATAGAAGTTTTCTGTTTAAACTCATCCAATGGTTAGGACAAATAAACTTTTTCTCAGTATTTGAGCAGCAGTTTAAATAAAGCAACATTATCTGACTACAAACTAACCAGTTGGTTTGTGCTTCTTTATAAATAATCAATACAGTTGATATAATAAAATGGAGGCGTGTCATATTTTAATTTCTTACCTAATAAGAGGATGGCAGATTTTCCACACTTAAAAGAATTATTACATCATGTTTAATTTGAACTACACATTCTGGGAAATATGAAGGATACCTTAGTTTGCATTGAGTACAAAGCCTATTGTAGTCCATCTGTCTACACCTGATAATATCTTTGTTGAAATGAAGCATAGCAGATGCAGCTTTGATATTTTAATTTACTTGTAGGCACTCACACAGTTTATTAGTTAATTTTATTTACCATCTAAGGAGGACTTTTGCTGGATAAGGATGTATTACTAATAAGGATTATAAAGCTTTACAGGTTTTATTTCTCCTTGGTAATGAAGTCAGCTGTTCAGGTAAATTGATTGAGGTGAATTGATTAACAGAACCACAACAGCTCCTGCTTCAATGATTGCATTACCCCAGATGACAGAGGTCATCTGTATAATTAGCATACAGTTTTTTTTTTTTGTTATGTATCTAACACAAAACAAGATTCCCCTATGAAGGCTGAGGTATGGAAACAGAACTGTAACCCTGGCTTCATAACGTGTATGCATAACGTGTATGCACTGACGTTTGTGTTGCACTCATATTGAAAATGTCATGTTAACATTATTAAAATTGTAAACAGATGACAAGGCTGGACGGTTGGTTAAATTGGCTGGTACTGCTAGAGTTCCATGGCCCATCGTCTCCACTTTCTGACATGGCTCGCTTGGGCTTGTGAGAAACGGACTCGAATGATGTGCAACTAAAATCCATAGCATTACCCTCCATGGAAGCAGAGCTGACCGTTGCACATGATACTGGCCTTGTCTGTTTGGACAACCTGCCTTCCTCCTGCTGTCTTCCAAGATTCTCTTTTTTTGCCCACCACAGCATAGGAACGAGGATGTGACACTACAGCAGGAAGTGATGATCTGGCATTACCCCTTCTGTTTGGACTGCATTGGCCTAACTGCACATGAGTGGCCTCAGCTCTCAGTGACACACAATCCCTGAAAAGCATAGTGGCTGATGAAATGTGTCAGTGTTTCTGTTAAAGTGAATCATTACATCTAACCTCACAATGATATGTTAATCCCACACTAAAAGTTCTGTGTTAGCTTTTTTTGGTCTAAGCGTGACACAGAAATGAGGTTGGCATGGAGGCAGCAGAGACAGATCCAATGTGGTTAATGTGGAAACCCATCCTAATTGAGTCGGAGCTCTCCTAGGAGTCCCTCTTAATTGAACTGCAGCTAAGAAATGAGAATGTATCATTATCCAGAGTCAGTCTCTGTACAGCCCAGGTGCTGAGCGCCCATTTGGATGGTTTGCAAATTTCCTGAAATAGTGACATTCAAGAAAGTCACTATTTCCTGAAAGCCAGGAAATAGTGCACTTTGAAGTAGATATTGACCTCTTTCCTAGAATTAAGCATTTGCGAGATGATCAGATGTGTTTGGTTGCCAAAGCAGAGTTATCAACTTTTTAAAGTTAGGACTGATATTGCGGGGGTGAAAGATTTAAGTTTAGTCTCTAAAATGAAATAATTTTCAAATTGAAAGTATCAGATAGACATCTAACAGTAACCGTTGTAATTTTTGGGGACGATTCTGCAATGATTAGCAATTTTTTAAACTTAAAGTTTGTGACAATTTTGTATTGATTATTTTGCTGAATTTCAACTTATGAACTTGATGAGCTGCCATGTTAAGTATGTTAAATATTATTATTTTTTGTTATATTTATCTGAATGTAAGCATTTTGAAGATGTTAGCCTTTCCCTAAAGACGAAAAGAGAAGTTGGGTGATAAATGCACCACTTGGCAAGGTTGTGCTAACAGCAACACCTCAATGTTATTGCTGTGACAAAGAGAAAGGAGTGATTTTATACAAAAATACATAGTTACTAGTAAGGACTAGTAAGCAAATATAATCGATTAAGCAAAGCACAAAAGAGTGTGCTTACAGGTCTGAAATGGAAGTAAAACTAAATAACAGTTAGTTTTCTAGTCATTAGCTATGAATCTTTTAAGAAAACAGAAAACTGCATCTTCTGTTGTGGTTCTGTTAAAAACAATGATTTTTTGATCACCTGGTATTTATTTCGGTGGTATACATTATTAAAACTTTGAGAAGCACCTTGCTGGGAAATGCACTTAGACTTCTGTTTTGACAATGCTAGCCACACTAAGTTTTATGTAACAGCAAATATGCTACAGGCAGTTTTAAAATCGAATTCAAATATTTGATTACCACAAAGATGAAGACTCTGCATTAAGACACAATTTGATTGTGTCTTAATACTTTCAAGGAGAAAATCAGACAGCCAAAATTGGCTTTGGAATGTCAAATCTTTGCAAAAACTGGATATCTAAAAGTGTCCACAAAATTCTAGTTGGTGCACTTCTATAATTCCTTAAAGTATTTTCCCAATTGCTGTCGTTCACATATAAAACCACTATACAGAATCTTGACAAGTTCCTTTCTTGAACGTGTTTTGAATAAAAGCATTCAAATACTAGATGTGACATGGAGAAGATCAACCTGTGGATATATGGGCTTATTTCTTCCAAACATTGTATGTAGAGGACGGGGGAGATAAACTGTGGGAGCACATTGGTGGGTACACCCGGCCCCAGTATCGCTGAACAGTAGATTGCACACCCATGGATCTGAAAGATGATACTGAAGGTTAACACCCTTGGAGGCCTCTCTGCTCTGTGTCCCTGGTGCTGTTTACCCAGCTGGTTGACTTCTTCTGCTGACCCTGGTTCGGCTGAGACTGAGGCCTTTTCAAAGGCCTCAGTCGTAGAAAGGTGATGACCCCGCCGCAGTTATCTAGCCAACACACAACGACAGACTCTCACTGTGTCAGCTGTAACAGAAAAAAGCATTTTTGTGACCAGAAGATAAAACCCCTGTTCAGGCACTGTGTGTGTGTGACAACAAGAGTGTGTGTTGTGGGCCTGGTTCTGATTAGTGCTGTTTTGTAACAAGCAGGCATGAACATTGTGGGGTCTGACCCTTGATCATGGTATAAGACTGTTTTTGAAGATTGTGCAATGGAATTTAGATTGTTTAATTTCTCATAAATCTTGTAACAGTGATCTGTTAAACACGACAGCCATCAGCAGAAAGGTCTGAGCGTGAAAATAACAGACAACAGTTTCTTTTTTTTTTCTGCCATCTGTCGCAGCTGATAGCAAGAAAATCTTGCTGTCATCAGACAACCTTCTTTAAAACACGTGCCTCATCAAATGCTCATGTTTTGTGATTATATACTTTCCTTTTTTCCTCCACTTCCTCCACTTTTATGTCATTAAAACAAAATAGTGCTCGTGGTTGTAAAATATAAAAAAAAAAATCTAGAAATATTTTTTTTTTACAAATAAATTGAAAGATAATTCTGCCATGCATTTGTATTCAGAATATCTTACTCTGTTACCCTAAATAAATTCAGTGCAACCAGCCCTCTTCAGAGACAAACTCCTAAATTGTATAAATTAGTGAAATATAATTATCTATTTGCATGTTTGATGCTGTCAGAAAACAAGCCATTAAAAAAAAAAAAAATCCATATGAAGTCCCGTTTAACATTTGCCATATTGAGGGCGCTGCACATATGTGTCAGAAGGTGCTCTGGTCAGATAAGACCAAAACTGAACGTTCTGACCTACATTTCAGACTCTCAAGTGTGACATAAAATAAACACTTTGCATTACGAAAAAAAAAAAAAAAACATGCTCTGAGGATGGTAGTGGCATCACCATGCTGTGTAGATGTTTTTTGTCATAATGGGACAGGAAAGTTGAACAAAGCAAAAGAAAAAAAAATACCAGAAGAAACCATTTTAGATGCATGGGACTGTGATAAAGGTTTATTTCCTAAAAGGTCAATTACTTTAAATATACAAATAAAGTTACAATGGAATACTTTAGATCAAGGATCCTCAAATCCAGGCCTTGACGGGTTGTGTTCTGTAAGTTCCACGTGTCCCTTGTCTGCACACCTGAGTCAAATGACTGAATTAATTACCCACCTCAGAGGGCAGTCAAACTCTTCAGAGTCCTGCTAAAGACCTCATTATTGTGTTCAAGCAGATGCACTTCTAGAACGTTGAGGACACCAACCCTTGAGGCCTAGATTTGAAGACCCCTGTTTTAGATGGCTAGAATGACCAAAGTAAGCCTTTGACGCATTTAAACAGTGGCAGTTTTAGTAGTCTACGTTCAATCTGACTGCTCAAAATCATTTGTAGATAATCTGGGTGGGTAGAGACATATGTCCGTGGAGATATGGTTTTGTAAAGTGGTGACCCAGGAAGGTTATACTGATTACTTTTTACCACAATTTCTTCTTCTTCATCAAAAAAAAAAAAAAAATCCTTTCACAACATTGTGCTACTTTGTATTTGTCCATTCTGAAATTTGAATAGAATATATTGAAGTTTTGTAGTTTTAATGTGAAAGATGTAGACAAGGTCAAGTGTATGAATACTTTTCTATCTCTACATTGCACATATGCTACCACCATATTATGGGATTCCAGTCCCTCCATGGCAGCTGTGCTAAAACTTGCACTTGGAAGCAGATTGATTACCCCTGTTGCTAGGCAGTAACTATGCAGCAGTCTCCTCGTTTCCTGCCTTTTCCTCACAACTAATTTTAAGCATCTCTTTTCCCCTCATTGTTTCTTTTTCGAATTTCCGAAACACTTGCACCATTTTTTACAAGTCGCCCATCCTTTTACAAGTTTGTTTGGCCCTTTTTGTTCTCCTTGTTGCTGTGCTTTCCTCTTTTCTCTATCCTTCCTTCCCTCCAGGCCTGCTCTGTCTCTCCCTAGAAACCTCCACCCACCACTGTGTAGTTCAACGAGTGCACAAATGTGCAGAGTGACATAAGGATATCTGCTGAGTATTGCTGGCCTAGACTGACCATCACATAGAGGGTCAGCCATTTGAGATGGGTCAAAAGAGAGAATTTACATAGTTTTTTCTTCTCTGCTTTCCTTTATCTTCTTTCAGGTTAGAGTTTAATATGCATTAAAACAACTGAAGACTTTTGCCTCTGTTAATTTATTCCCATAATAATAAATGTTAAAATAATAATCAATATTGTAACATAACAATTAATCTTTTACGGATTTCTGGCTTTCTAAGTAGGTTACATAGTTTTCTTCCCCCAGTTTGGAAGCCCATTAAGGTTTTGCATCTGAAATGAAGGGCTTGCAGAGAAACATTTTTGATGGTGCACGCTAATTGGCTGATGCTTATAAACACAGAAAGTTAATGAAGCTCTGCAGTAAAAACCTTCCATACTCTGCTGATCCGGTGACACATTTCAAGATCACTTAACACTTGGAGGTACAAGGGGATGAAACACTGCTGCTCTGAGGATTACTGTTGTGCCTCCTTCGGTTATATGTTCATGGTCTACATCATGTCTGATTTGCACAGTCAGTAAACTTCTCGGGTTACACAGGGTGGATCCTCGTGAATTCACACTCATCATTTTATGTACGTTGTACTACAGGCTGAGAGAAGGGAAGCATCTCTGCTTCTTTTTCTCATTTTTATTTTTTTTACAGCAAGCTTGGTTGTCCTGTGATTGCGAAACAGGCGCTTCTTTCCCATGCGTCTGTCTTTTTCATTGAAACTGAAACCATGAGTAAGTACCATGCCTGTGTCATGTGAGTGCTGCTGTGGGTAATCCCGAAGCATTCCAGTCTGTACTTATCACAGTATCTGGAGGTGGTAGAAAGTTGTTTCCAATGGAAACCATGAAACCGACCACACTTTGTATGTCAGTTTCTTGTGGGATTATTTTGCAAAACATCCACAAATGTTCTTGGCACATGATCTCTGTTTATGTTGTATCTTTGTCGTAAGTGGCAGTGGTTGCGAGGCAGGCCTGAGATTGTTGTTCGTTAGCCACACACTCAATGCACCTGTTGTGGCAGCAGTCACACCCTTGTTTCATTCTGTCTTTACCAGCACAGACATCTGTGGAGCATATGTTATAATAAAATCTCTAGCAAGTGTTACTCACTGCTGATGTGTGTGTGTGTGTGTGTGTGTGTGTGTGTGTGTGTGTATATATATATATATATATATATTATATATATATATATATATATATATATATATATATATATATATATATGTGTGTGTGTATGTGTAAAAAAAGAACAAAAAAAAACTCGCTCTATAGATATATATATATATATTTTTTCTTTTGAGCTTCTAAGCTAAAGAAGCTTAAACGAACAATAAGTATTTTTATTGGTTTAGTAAATTAGTGGAGAAAATTATTTTACTGCCATATTCTGTTTTAACTTCACATAAAATATCAGCAACTACTTTAATTCCTTTTACAACTGTACTTTTATTGACTGTAGTGTTTCTACTTTTTCTTCTGCAGTGGTGTCTGGTGTGTGAATTGAAATGGAGAGTCCATATTGCAAAGTTCTCTCTGTTGGTGGGGTCAATCTTTGGATACCTTGTATTTGGGATACTTGCAGACTGGTAATATTTTTTTTACATTCCTTCTAAAATATCAATCTCTGCAATTGAAGCCATATTTACAATAATATTTGTCTTTCTCTTTTAGGTTTGGTCGACATCCAGTGCTGATCATATCAGTGCTGTTTATGCTGGTGTTTGGTCTGACTGTGGCCTTTTCTGTCAACGTCACCATGTTCAGCACCTTGCGTTTCTTTGAGGGCTTCTGCCTGGCAGGGATCACTCTTTCTCTCTATGTCCTGAGTAAGTAATTCAATAGATCTTGGCTTAATATACAAGTGGACTTTTTTTTTATTGTTGGGGTAGGAGATTAGTGTTGATTTTTCAAAGCAAGAACGTCATGGATTCAAAACCTGCCCAAGGCCTTTTTGTGAGTTTGCATTTTCTTAGTGTGCCTGCATGGCTTTACTCTGGTTTCCTCCCAAGACCAGAACATATGTATGATATGAAAGTGGGTGAGTGAGTTTGATTTTTGTCTTGAATGTGTTGACTCACTGTTGGACTTGCAACCTGTCCAGGGTATAATCTGTTTTTTGCTGATTTACCATGGAAGGTGTACCAGCTTGCCTACTTACATGAATACCAGTACTCTCTTATATTAAAGTTATTCAATGTGTTCTGTGATTGTAACTTTGACTAACAAGGCAGACTGACAACCCAAGCTTATGCTTCCTTTAAACAATGTGAGATGGATATCAGGGAAGAAAAAAAAGCTGCTAGGGTAAGATTAGTTTTTAATGATTTAATTGTTTTGTTTGAGATTATGCTGCTGCAATTAACAAAATGTTTTTTTGAAGATATGAACAAGTTTTTCTTCTGGGACGCTAAAAAATGTGGTGGATGCCATAGAAGATTTTAATTGAGGACTCTTGTTACAATTTGCCATAGAAACCCTCAACCCTACTGACTAAATATCTCAATCCGAGGCCCTCAAAAATATATTTTTTTAAATAGCATTTCACATCATTGGGAATTTTCTAAACTGCCACAGCTTTTAAACACTTTGATTACCTCTCTTATTGCATTGATTAGATGGGTATACTGACATTTGCAGGAGATGTTAGAGCAACTGTTGTTAGTTTCCCTAAAGGTTAGGAATTAAAAGGAGTCCCAACATTTCAATAGTCTTTCTGTTTCTTATGAATTTTAAAATTGTGTTGCTTATCATCTTTGTCCAAGCAGGGCATTTCCTAGATGGGCATGTACTGAATGTTAGGACTATATTGTAGTGCTATGCCTATACTGTCTTCATGTGTTATCTTCATGCATTGTTTCGCAGTGGGTGAGTGACAGATGATTCAGATTATTTTCTCACTGGGATAGCATGTTGCCTGAGATGCCCCAGTCAAATCCAAAGTCAAAAAGGCTTTCAACTCTGTACTTGACTTCAAAAGATGATTCATTCTCACTTCTTTGAACAGAATTACCTGTCTCACAAGCTCGCACTGGTAGGGTTGACAATACACAACCTATTAAATATAAATATAAATATATAAATGAAAGATCAAACACAACAAATATGAAACAGGATTACATTAATAAATAAACTAGCTTGACTAATTTATACAAGTGACTGCCTCCCATTAGTTTCCTTATTAGCTAATGGAAGTTAGGTGAGCGCTGAACATCAAACACTTTCCTTCTCCAGCTGTTGAACAGCCAGACTTCTCCAGGCTCATCTTCCAGCTTTCAAACCTCATTCACCTTGATGTATATTTCCATTTATGTCTGCAGCACTTAAGACGTGTTCAAACTGTTATCCAAAGACAATATTATGTGTCTCTCTTTAGAGCCCACAGAGTGCTGCATTTCACTGCCTTGCATATTGCTCTGGAACACGACCAATAGCTGTATACTGTAAGGTGGAAAAGATGGGATTCCTTGTTGATTGATATTTGTTTGGAGGTTTCAAGATGGACATCACTAATGAGTCCCTATAAAAGAACCATAACATCAAAGTAAAAAATACATATTTGGGTTCAAAAGAAACTGATACATTTTCTGAGAAAAGCCTGAATACTGAAAAGAAAAAAGAACAGAATGATGCTTACAGATTGCCCTGAATAGGAAGACAGCTAATTTTATATAAAATGGATGGTAGCGCGAAATGTTGCAGACATGCGATTATTTTTTTTTTCCATCATATTCCTAATTTATAATCTCACACTGTTATCACTCTTGTCAACTATTCAGGCGTAACGGAAAAAAAAATCTGCAGTAATTCTGGAGACTGGCTGTAGCACTTCGCTCAGTGACAAGTAATTTTGTTCTTGTGACCTTCTAACACTTAATAGACAGAATTCCTCTGTTATGTGTTCTCATTCCTGTTGATGTTGAGGGCTGTTGCCAATCGGTTTACACTTTAATTAAATTTATTATCATTTGAGTGCACCAGTATGTCTCATACTGCTATTATATTTCTTCTTACTGCTAATCAGTAGTCTAATAGTGAAACAATAGGCATGTCTTGTGGATGAAGTGGTAACCAGAATGTAATGCATGAACCATCTGTAATGTTGATCCAGATTAACTTACTCTCTTTATAACCTTCTCTGCTGACAAGAAAGGTTTAGATGATTTGTTCTGTGGCACAGAAGGGTTGACGAAAGGACTTGTTGATAGCAGCCTTGTAACCGCTGTTGCATTTGATGAACATTCTTGTTCTGCCGATGGATCCTTAAAAGCCTCTTTGGCCACAGTAAATGTCCATTGCAGAGCGAGGTTGGAAAAAGTGCAGAGCGAGGAGGGGCTGGGGTGTTCAGTAAGGACGATATGATGAAGCATGGGGCCCCCAGAGTCCTTGTCATTCTAATTTACTCCTCACTGTATACCTTGAAAGGCTTTCATGCTCACCCGAAATAGACTAACTGTTAAGCCTGCTCTCAGGACAAAGGAGCGGCCAGATGGAGGGAGAAAACATGGAGTTGAATTGTGAAGTGTAAGGTTTCAGTAAAGTGATGCTGACATCTGCATGCATTGTTTTCAAATTAAACTACTTTATGGTTGAATAAATCATCAAATAAGTCATTTTCAAGCCAGAAGGTGACAGAGATACTTGACTGTGCTGAGAAATCAGCTATCAATACTTTTCAACAAGTATATTCATTATTTTTTACTGAAAAGATACAATGTGTTTTAGTCAGCATAGTTACAGGTTTATAGACTGTGCTCAGCATGATATTTGTTAGCTTATCTAAGTACATTTTCCTTGTCTAATGTTTGTTTAGCAGCTCACTGCACATTCATTCAGCAGTTCTACTTGTTATTTTGTCAGTCTAAAGTGCAGGCTGCTCCAAAGTAATGAAAGATGTCTAAATGGTTTAGCAAAATGTTACCGTTCCAGTTGGTTGAAAGGGAATAGTTATTTAATTGAACAATTAAAAAAAAATACTCAAATGGTGACTACAATTGCTGTGAGTATTTTTTTTCCCTTTTAAGCTGTGAGCCTCTGTCTGTAGATAGCTTTTTGAAAAATTCAATGCAAGAATCCACAGTCCACAGGGATTTTAACAATGCTAGCCAAGCAAACCGTTCTAGTTGCAAAGATGAGAGGCTAAAGACAGTTTAAAATTAGGATTCAAAAATAATTTTGTCTTTTGTTTAAGACATGAACTGGGCTCTCACAAACGCTCACAAACACTGTGATGTAGTCTCTTCTGGTAAGGTGAATAATTAATGACTATGACAGGGTGGCTATATCTACATATTCTGCATATAGTTTATATGGATTTTTATATTATAGATATGAAAAGCTAAAATAGGTCAAAGTTAGAGTTGCCAGGCGAGAGCTTTCCAAAAGCTTGATTTTGGAAATCATTAACAGCATTCAGATCAGTGCGTCTTTGAATTTGTAGCAGGACTGAATTCTATATTATATTTATATAGTTTGAACTGACATGATAAAACCATATGACTCAAAAAGATGAACTACTGTGCTTTCATTATGTGTACACAAAGAGTTTGATGCTGGTATACTATCACCCTTATTTTCAAACAAGTATGACTTCGGCCTTTGTCACATGATATTTTCCCTGTAGGCTTCGTGTATTGACAAAACTGCAACTGCACTTAACCAAGAAAACAGGAACACTGTGGTCTAATAAGACTTCACTAGAAACAATCACTCTTACATTTGCCTGGAAATAAGCCTCAGAGGTTTAGAAAAGTATCTGTTGTCTTGAACGTTGAAAACATTAGTTTTTTTTTTTTTTTGCAATGCTTTGTTTGCCTCCTTTTATAAAGGAAAGCTAGAGCGAAATCCCTGCTTCAACAGTGTTTGCACTGTAGAATATTACCCTAATCCCTTTCTTTCTTTCCAGTCTATGTTGGATGAAGTCTTACATCATCAGCCCTGAAAATTGCATTTTTACATACAATTTTGTCCAAATTTTAAAGCTGTTTAATCAGTAGTTCATTTAAGATGGAGGCATAAAAGATTTTTTCTTCTTTGATTTTATTGAGAAACTTAAAACAGTTTGAGGTTATAGAGGAGCGTTTAAATAATCTTCAAGGTTATTTGGGACCGGTCAAACAACTGATGGAGACGTCAAACAACTGATGTTGTTTGACGTCATCAAGTCTTTTGATTATTCTATTGTAGTTTTATCTAAAAAGAAAAAGTTTAAAAAATGTATTTTTGTTTTGATGTTGTTTGACGTCTCCACCGATCCTGAGTAGTTTCAGCAGATAAACTGCACACTTTTCTTTGTTAAATGGATAGACATTTAATTAACTATTATCTGGGATTTGGGCTTATTATTAGGGAGATACAATTTTGTCTTTGTATGGACTGGAAAAAATCCACAATAAATGTTTAGCTTAATACTGTTTAAAAAACAAAATAAATAAAATATTCTTGTACCGAAAAAAAACAAGGAGCTTTTTGGTTTTTATGCCCATGATGAGTTTATGTGACAGTTTAACACGTGGCTTATATCTTTCTTCTAACCTCACCAATGGTGTCTTGTGACTAAAGTGCATGCATTCTCTGCAGGTGGCATTTTTTGTGGTTTCAGACAGTTGTGTATATCCCTATTTTTATAGCATTGTGTACGCAGCTTGCATTGCATTTTCCAGTACCAGTGTAAAGTCTGCAAACTTGTTTATTAGACATAGAGGGAATATTGCAAAATGTTACCTCGACTTCTAAAATTGGCAAAGAAGTACTAGTTATGAGTCCGCATGTTGCATTTCTAGTTACATTGGGGATGCATTTCCTCTATAGTCTCGTCCTGTGATTATCA